AATTTATTTTGAATAAAACCAAGTTTAGTAACTGCATCATGAAATTTGAGATACCATTGTCTAGAAGACTGTTTTAAACCATATAGAGATTTCATTAATTTGTAAACTTTATGTTCCTGTTCTTTCACCTGAAAACCTTCAGGTTGTTGCATATATATTGCTTCCTTCAACTCTCCGTTAAGGAATGCAGTTTTAACATCCATTTGGAATAACTCCAAATCAAGATATGCAACAATAGCCAAAATAATTCTAATGGATGCAAATTTAGCTACAGGAGAATACGTCTCCTGAAAATCTATTCCTGCCTTCTGGTTATAACCTTTGGCAACTAACCGTGCTTTGAATTTATCAATAGATCCATCAACACGATATTTCTTTTTGAGCACCCATTTGCATCCTATGGCTTTTCTATTTTCTGGTAGATCACATAACTCCCATACCTTATTCTTTTCTATGGAATCAAGTTCTTCTCTCATAGATTCTAGCCATGAAGCTGATTCATGCGATTTCATCGCATCAGAAAAAGTTAAGGGATCTTGTTCTTCTATATTTGTATCTACCGAAAAACAGGATGATTCACATGAATACAAATAGTAATCATCCATCCATGAAGGTTGTGTTCTTGGTCTTTTGTTGCCTACAACCGGTTGATTAGGTACATTATTTCCATAGGTATTTCATCATTTTCAATGTTAGGTTCATTCACAATATCAGGGTCATTAGTGGGAACAACACTGTAATAATCATCATCTACTACAGTTAGAGGTTCTGTTTCCTCTTGAACTTGTTCCTCTTCCTCTAGATTCTCTAGAAATGTAGCATCTCTGCTTTCAATGACACCTTTTTCTTTATTGTAGAACTTATAACCTTTTAACTTTTCTGAATACCCTATGAATCTACACTTTATTGTTTTAAAATCCAACTTATCTCTAAGTTGACATGGAATGAGAACATGGGCTATAGATCCCTACTTTCTGAGATGACTCAAATTAGGTTTTCTCCCATTCCATAATTCATAAGGTGTAGATATAACTGATTTGGTGGGAATTCTATTTAAAATGTAGTTTGCAGTTAACAATGCTTCTCCCCAAAAAAATTTAGAGAGACCAGAATGAGACAACATGCATCTAACTACATTTAATAATGTTCTGTTTTTTCTTTCAGCAACACCATTCTGTTGTGGCGTATACGGCATTGTTGTATGCCTTTTAATTCCATGCTGAATACAGTAACTTTCAAATTCTTTAGAATTATATTCTCCACCTCTATCAGTTCTCAGAATTTTGATTTTCAATCCAAGTTGGTTTTCAACTTCTGTCTTATATCTCTTAAAGCAGTCAAAAGCTTCTAATTTTCTGGATATAAGATAGACGTGTGCAAACTTGGAATAATCATCTATAAAAGTAATAAAATATTCTTTATTACTATGAGTTTTGACACTTAGGGGACCACAAATATCCGAGTGTATCAACCCTAAAAGTTCATTGGCTCTATGTCCGCCAACAAAAGGTTTTCTAGTCATTTTACCAGTTAAACAATGTTCACATGGTGGCAATTGAACATTAGATAGTGCAGGAAGCAAGTTCATTCTGATAATTTCTTTCATTTTTGAAATACTAGCATGTCCTAGTCTAGAATGCCACAATTCAGATTCAGAAATATAACAAGACAAGTAGTTCAAATTCGAAATTTTATTATCAGAATTATTACAAACTACTGGAAGAATGCATAATTCATGCTCGGGCACATATTTTCCCATAGCATACACTTTATTATTCTTGCCTATAGAAACCCTGTTATTATAGAACCTCACTTCCAGTCCTTTCTTCATCAAGCTGGGAACAGAGATCAAATTGCGTCTAATTCCTGGCGCGTAGAACACATCTTTGAGGACAAGAATACTGTCCCCAAGATCCAATCTATACGAACCAATACCTTCTACATCGAGATAGGTATTATTTCCCATATAGATTCTCTGTTCTCCTTTCTTTAGCTCGGTGAATTCTACGGCTCCATTCTTGTCCTTTGCGATATGCCTAGTCGCACCGGAGTCAATCCACCAACCACTGATATCCGTCATCACAGCATTACATTCCGTCACACCGACGAATCCACTGATATCCGTCATCACAGCATTACATTCCGTCACACCGACGAATTCTCTTTTGCTAGTACCCCTTGTTCTAGATGCTTATAGCCTCCCTTATTCTCCTGCTTTTCACCTTGTGGACAATTGGGTTTGAAATGCCCGAACTTTCCACAATTGTAGCAGGCTCCGCGGGGTACTTTCTTTCTCTTGAACTGCTGTGACTTCGGTCCTCGCGGTTGTGGTTTACTAGGACCAGGGTTTTTATAGCTTCCGGTATTATGCATCTGGTGGACATAATTCAGCTCCTGCTGCACTATATTCAGTTCTGGTTCCTTCCTACTAGCTATTAAGTCATGTTCTATCGCTAGGTGCATAGGAAGATCAGTGACAGACTTAATGGCAGGATTCATTCTTAATGTGGTGGTAGCCACAGCATGGTTGCTACTTGCATTCTTTCCTGGATTTCGGTCCCAGCAGTGGATAAGTCCTTAGCCATGACAATCATTTTATTTATATGCTCTACGACATTGTCTCCCTCTTGCATACGACAAGAATTATACTTATGCAAGAGGAGTTGAATGTTAACTTCAGAAGCAGTGTCGTATTTTTCTTTTATTGCATTCCACATATCCATGAAAGTTTTATAAGTTTCAAAAACTTTGATTAAATTATCTTCTATGAACATGAGCATAAGATTTTTCGCCTTTTTGTCTTTCGACTTCCACTGCTCAAACCCTTTCTTTTCTTCAGGTGTTGATTTATCAGTAAGGGTTATAGCAGTGGTTTCGATTATATCATCAATGTTATCATGAATAAGAGCATATCCTATTTTTCTATGCCACATATCATAATTACTGCCATTAAATTTGTCAATTTTCCCTAGTTCTGATAGAACAAGTTTACTAGCCATTCGGTAAAGAACTAAAACTAAATTCAATTTTAAATATTTGTATAAGGTTGATGTTTTGACAATAATACTATAATAAAATAATGTTAGATAAAAATAAACTAAAATAAAAATGAACCTGAGTGTTCCGAGTTGATGAAAGAGGCTCCAATTTGAGCGAGATTGTCGCTTAGCGGTGTTGACCAAAGAATCTCTTGTCGAAGTTTTGGCGTCGTTTCTGACTGGATATGGAGATGATCTGCTCTGTGAAATCAGCCTCACGCGGTCCCCTCCACTCCAAGAGATAATTGACCTACACCTTCACTTGGCCCACAAAAATTAAGTACTAATCACCCAGGCCCAACTACAAGGCCCAAGTCCAACAACTTTACAACCCCACTCCGTTAAAGCTGACTCACTGTCAATTTCCTTTTATTATTCCCTCTTCTCCCCCAAAAATAACTTTCTTTTCTATCTCAAAAAATCAACATTGATCTGATCTAAAAAAAAAATCTCCGTCTTCACCTTGATCTCAAGCTTGACCAATGGCCTCCGATCTCCACTTCAGTTGCAGCATGCTCGTCGTCAACATCGTCGATCGCAGCGGAGTCGTTGTTGTGGTCGTCGATCGCAGCGGAATCGTCGAGTCGTCTTGGTCGTCGATCGAAGCAGTATCATCATAGCAGAGTCGTCGTCGATCGTCGAGGCAGCCGTTGAGCGAAGCAGTCGTCGTCGACGTTCGAACGCAGAGCTCGAGATGGCGACGCTCAGGGAGTTGAGGATCGAAACGTTGCTCTGATACCAGTGTTTGATCACAGAGAAGAAGAGAAAAAAGAATAGATTTCGTTGAGGGGGGCTCCGGTAATGGGTAAGAGGGCTTGATTTTCCTTTTTCTTGTTGTATTTCTGCAAGTAGATTACACTCCTTTATATAGGCCATAAATCCCATCATCTCCACCCCCCTCAAACTGCCTCTGAGAGAAAATCTCTCAACAAACCCCAATTCATGTTCTCCACGATTCTCTCTATTGAGAAACCGTTGTTGATTTGGTCATCCATGACCGAGTCAAGCTAACAGGTCTTGGGTTCGATTCCCATAGCCGAAAAAAACCCTATTGTTATTATTATTATTATTATATTTTATTTTTTGTGATTCTTACCTTGCTATGTACGTACCCGCCATTGTTAATTCGTATACAGTCAATGATCACAAGTTCCATCATTGATTCATTATTATTCTCATCGCTATGATTAGCACATCGTTTTTTATTACTGCATCTCAATCTAAATTGTCAACTATCGATATTGTTTTTGTGAAATTATAGTTGGAAAATATCATGGACGATCTGTATTGTTTTTATACAGAGCAAATAGTATTACTTAACCCCATGAAAAGAGACGGACAGGCGATCTGGATCAGACTCCGGCACTTCATATTCAAAATTACCTGCAGAAACGCATTATTTTATCCCATAGTCGAAAAACATGTAATTATTTGGTGTGCGGATAAAAATATAGCTTCCTCGTATTTATTCTTAGACTGTATTTGGTATGTAGAACTAGGGGTGGCAAATGGGTCGACCCGACCCGACCCATATAAAATTTGACCCGACCCATATAAGTATGACCCGACCCGACCCGTTTAATAAATGGGTCAATGTGACCCGACCCAATTATTAAACGGGTTACCCGACCCGACCCATATAACCCAATTGATCCGTTTATCAAAAACAAGACATATCCTAACACATATAACTAGTAAAAAATTTTGTAATACACAAAAGAACACTTCTTGCAAGCTCTTTAGACAAAAACTATCACTACTTACAACATGGAGTTATTTCAAAGACATATTCAGTGTTTAAATCTAAATGTACTTCAACGAATTGCACATATCAACAAACAAAAATACATCAATGCAGCTCTTTAGACACAGAATAATCTAAACTAAGAACTAGCTACAAAGAATTTAACACAAGTAAATAAAGAGAATATACACAAGTTTACAACAAAATAGTTAGGAACTTGATCGCCATTATCATAGTCCATCTCCAAATTTACAAAAAATGCAATTACAGTTTACAAAAAATTAACTGTCCCATCTCCAAATTTACAAAAAATGCAATTACAGTTTACAAAAATTTTAACTGGCCCATCTCCAATTTTGAGTCAAAAAATTCATTCTCAGAGTGAATGCGATGCCCTTGGCGGCGGCGAGGGCAATGGCGGAGTGTGATTCCCAGTTTAGTGGAGTGCGGCCGGATCCTCAGTTGCCTGCAAAGATTGAGGAGAGAATTTTGAAGAAGGGAAAGTGCAAACGTTGCAGAAATGCTTCGTAAACTCTTGCTTGATATGTTATGGAAAGGTAAATTCTTGCTATGTTCATAACAAGCAAGGACATTATTGGAGAGATTTGCCTGAAAGTATTGCTGACAGTAACACATCGTAGAGGTAAAAAACAAGATACCTAGAGCCTCATTGACTTGCTTCTGTGCTGTAATACTCTCATCAAGTTCTTGAAGATGGACGTGAACTTCTTCCACAGTAATTTTATAATAAAGGATGATGAAAGTTATAAACTGTGAATGGAATTAGCATACAGTTCTGCAGAGAAATATTGAAACAATGTTACAGAAAGTCAACACATATCGGTAAATTTGCCCATTGTCCCGCCACAGTTGGAGCTTATAATCACATATAAAAATAAATGAAATCAGCAATAAAAACAATGTATGCTATGTTCATGAATATGGATGATTATAGAATCAGACTCCAAGCATGAAAAAACCCAGAGGAAGAATCACTATTTACACGATATGAACATTAACATTCTTTTAAAAGAACCTCGAAATTTTTTGCTGGGTAATATGAATTACTGCATGAGAGATGTCAAAAAGCTCTAAGGCACAGCAAAATTTGAAAGGGAAATCTACAACATATAGTCCCTGTCTCCAAGGTACCTCCAGTTTCTATATTTCAAACTTAAAAAACAAGTCACAGTTCTCTAAAACTATTCCTTACCTTGCTACTTCGATGAAAAACGTTAAATAGCCTACAGTCTTCAAAATCTACAGGCTGGACAGAAGCATCCTATGAGAGAAACTGGCATTAATGTCTGCACTATATGTACTTCTGGGTTTGCTCCAACGTATTCCTACTAAGAAGCTTCAGTCACGCAAAGGCCTAGGATTTGCATATTTCTCAACATAAGCCTGAAAATTTGAACATATAAAAGGAGCCATATATGAGGTAATGGAAATATATCTTTGGGATCAAAACGGTTCACAGTGGAGATAACCAACACTAACCTCCACAAGTTTCAAAATCTTTGAAGGGTAAAGGATGATTGGGAATCTACTTATATGTACTTCTGGGAATCAATTCAAAGATAGCTCTCTTCTTATCACCTGAAAGAGCAGTGGCAGTTTGAGGAAAAGAAAAAAGAATGAGAAGTTTAGAGAATTACACCCTAACGGAAAAATAAAAGGAATTACACCTTCAAGGGGTTGGATTTGGCCTCACACTAATATGCAACTCACATGCATTTAATTATTGATTTTCAATTGGAAATCAAAATCATCTGAATATTACAAGGTATATTTGTAGATTACACACTCAAAGTGAAATTTCACATCTTATCCCTAAATTCAGAAAGAGTCAAATTCAATTTAACATTATTTTTGAGGAAACTAATTAAATTTTTGAGGAAACAGTTGGATTTGGCCTCCAACTGTTTCTTTTTATATAATATAATGATTCAGGTCAGCTTATCAAATAGATTATTCAAAGAGTTTGATAACACATTAACATGATATAAGGTTTGACGTAAGAGATTACAGGTATATATGCTCATACACTGTCAATATTCATATATGATGATCCAAAATTATTTACTGTAATTCAAATATAAGAATATTCATGCATTCTGAATTTTATGTATTAAATTTCTAGCTTGTACAAAGAATGTAAAAAGGTCTAATCATTTGCTTGAACATAACTACAAAATGAATGGAGCTTTTGAATCATAATGTTGGACAATTAAGAAACAACATATCAAAAAATGAATAAAAACTAAGAGATCACAAATTGGGCAATAAATGAGAATGAATGAAACCTTAGAAAGAGGAATAGATTATCTATGATCAAATTAATTTATATGGAAGCCAATGATCAACTCTGGAAACGGAACATTTGAGCTTGAATCAAATTAATTTAAAGAAACTTGATCAAAATGAAAGAAACCTAATTTTGATGAAGCTTAGAGAGAGAGAGAGAGAAAGAGAGAACTTACTGATTCAATGAGCTTGAATCAAATTAATTTAAAGAAACTTGATCAAAATGAAAGAAACCTAATTTTGATGACTTAGAGAGAGAGAGAGAGAAAGAGAGAACTTACTGATTCAAGATCCCCTGGTTCGAGATTCACTGATTCATATCCCAATTCAACCTCTCCTTCCTCTATCTCACCCTCCTCCTTCTCAACCTCGCCCTCAACCCCACTCATATTCTCTCCAACAATTTCATCATCACCATCATCGATTTCGTACTCAATTTCATCCTCCTCAGGCCTCACATCTAACCCTAACGGCTTGTTCTGCACCGCCTGAGCCCAAGCAAACGAGTACAGATCCAGATTATAGTTCCATTGAACATGGTACCTCATCGCATCCCTCATCCAAACCCTAGATCTACACTGCTGCTTCAAATCGTCGGCGTGCAGAGAACCCTCATCCAAACTATCTTCATTCCGATGCTTCGCCATTAGGGTTTGCGATCAGGATTAGATGGATGGATCTAAGATGGATTTAAAGCCTTTTTTTTACGAGATTACGAGATTGGGATCAGATCGGAGGTCTTGCGGAGATAAATCGATTGATTAGGGTTTCAATTTGAGATGCTGGATGAGGAGTTGAAGGGGTCGCCGCCGGATCCACAGAGCTCGCGAGAGGAGAAACTTTGGGAACGAGAATAATTCCATCGATAGCGAGGAGCTCGTGGATTCTCGAGGTGTTATACACTTACACGGGTCAGCTCTCTGTGTTATACGGGTTAGGCGGGTCAACCCTAACTTACCCATCTAATAAATGGGTCAGTTCAGGTTGACCCGTTTATGACCTGACCCATATAACTCGACCCATACCCAATATAAACGGGTCGGGTCGGGTCGGGTTGATGGGTCGGGTCAAAAACTGCCACCCCTATGTAGAACAAACTAAATAGTGACTATAACTCAAATTAAATAATACTGAATATGTACTTATGATATTATTGTTGCGCCCGGCGGAAGCGTGCACAATCCACGACGAGTCGGGTAAGCAATGCGAGAAGAATACCACGAGCACAATTCACAATGAGAACGACCAAAGCCAATCACAAACACAGAGATTTTACGTGGTTCGGTAAATTTTCTACGTCCGGGGAGAGGATGGGGGAGATTTCACTGTATGGAGGAGAAAAACAATGAGTTACAACTCTCTTTAAACACAAAAAATAACCCTAACTAAAAGATCTCACTCCCTCACAACAATCTCCCTCTCAAAGTGCTTAAAACAACATCTTTTCTCTATTAAATCTCTCTCTCTCTCTCTCTAAACCCTATAAAACGTGTTTCTATTTATATCAACACTCAAACCAAAACAGGCTAGGAATCCGAATCAACCCATTATCCGCTATCAGTCGACTGATGAGTCCTTATCAGTCGACTGGTGGAGGTCCATCGGTCGACTGATAAAGTCTCGTTAGTCGACTGTCCAGTGCGTTGGTTTCCAGTCCTGCAGGGTGCACGCAATCAGTCGACTGATGACTTCGATTGGTCGACCGATCCGAGAGTTCCTGTAGCTTCTTTTCTCATGTGATTTTTCGCCTTTTATCAACAATTATATATATCATGTAACATATTATCTTCAAATTTTGAACATACTGCCCCTCTACTTTTACTTTTGAGGAATAGGCCTCCAAGTAAAAATTTTCTCTCTTTA